ACATCCCTCAAATCCCACCTAGATCCCTTCTACATCCCTCGGATCCCCCCTAGATCCCTCCTACATCCCTTGGATCCCACCTAGATCTCTCCTACATCCCTCAGATCCCCCCTACATCCCTCAGATCCCCCCTACATCCCTCCTACATCCCTCAAATCCCACCTAGATCCCTCCTAAATCCCTCGGATCCCCCCTAGATCCCTCCTACATCCCTTAGATCCCACCTAGATCCCTCCTACATCCCTCATATCCCCCCTAGATCCCTCCTACATCCCTCAGATCCCCCCCTAGATCCCTCCCGATCCCCCTTTCCTGCAGGTGCTGCAGGGGTTGGTGCGCCCGGAGCCACCGCTGCCGGGGGGGGCCCTGGCCTCCCTGGTCCGTACCCCCGGGATGAGGATGGTCTCTTGCGGCGTCTCCTTCATCTGGCAAGTGGAGGCCAAACCCCACCTTTTGGGGCCAAACCCCAACTTTTGGGGGTCAACCACCACCTTTGGGCGACCAAATCCCACCTTTGTGGTCCCCACTTGGTGACATCTGGAGGGTTTCACCTTGACATGTTGGATTTTGGGGGCAGGTTCTCCACCAGCTTCGCCTACTACGGGTTGGCCATGGATCTGCAGGGCTTCGGGGTAGACATCTACCTGAGCCAGCTGGTCTTCGGGGCTGTGGACATCCCGGCCAAGCTGATCTCGGTGTTGGCCATCAGCTGCGTGGGGCGGCGGGTGGCCCAGGCGGGCGCCTTGGGGCTCGCTGGCATCTGCATCCTCGCCAACATCATCGTGCCGATGGGTGGGTGCTGGGAGGGATGGAGGACAATGAGATGGAGGACAACGCGATTGAAGGAGGGAGGACAATGGGATGGAGAGATGGATGGAGAGATAGAGGACCATGGGATGGAGGGAGGACAATGGGATGAAGGATGAAGGACAATGGGATGGAGGACGGAGGAATGAAGAACAATGGGATGGAGGGAGGACAACGGGATGAAGGATGAAGGACAATGGGATGGAGGACGGAGGACAATGGGATGGAGGGATGGAGAACAGAGGGTGGAAGGATGAGTGGAGGTTGGAGGGACGGAGGGATGGAAGATGGAGGACAGAGATGGAGGGATGAAGGATCATTGGAGGGACTTGGGATGTTCAGGGGTGGAGACAGAGGTTGGAGGACCACTGGTGGGTCATCGAGGAGCTGTTGTGGGGCTGGAGGTGTGAGACCTCCCATCCCCATCCCCAGAGCTGCAGATGCTGCGCATGACCTTCGCCGTGATTGGGAAGGGGTCCTTGGCTGCCTCCTTCAACTGTGCCTACATCTTCACTGGAGAGCTCCTCCCCACCGTCATCAGGTGGGTGGTTGTCACTTCCAGGAGCTGCCCCCTCTCCATCTGTCCACCCCTCCATCCACTCATCCATCTGCCAAGTTGTCTTCCACCCATCAACTCAACCATCCATCGTCCATTGACCAGCCCATCCATCCATCCATCCAGCACTCCATCCATCCATCATCAACCCTTCCAACCCTCAACCCATTCATCCAACCACCTCTCCATCCATCCATCATCAATCCTTCCAACCCTCAACCCATTCATCCAACCACCTCTTCATCCATCCATCATCAACCCTTCCAACCCTCAACCCATTCATCCAACCACCTCTCCATCCATCCATCATCAACCCTTCTAACCCTCATCCCATCCAACCACTTCTTCACCCAACCATCCATCCATCATCAACCCCTCCAACCACCTCTCCATCCATCATCATCAAACCCTTCAACACTCATGCCATCCATCCATCCATCCATCCATCATCAACCCTTCCAACCCTCATCCCATCCAACCACCTCTCCACCCAACCATCCATCCATCCATCATCAACCCCTCCAACCACCTCTCCATCCATCATCATCAAACCCTTCAACCCTCATGCCATCCATCCATCCATCCAGCACTCCATCCATCCATCCATCCATCCATCATCAACCCTTCCAACCCTCAACCCATTCATCCAACCACCTCTCCATCCATCCATCATCAACCCCTCCAACCACCTCTCCATCCATCATCAACCCTTCCAACCCTCATCCCATCCAACCACCTCTCCACCCAACCATCCATCCATCCATCCATCCACCCAACCATCCATCCATCATCAACCCCTCCAACCACCTCTCCATCCATCATCATCAAACCCTTCAACCCTCATCCCATCCATCCATCCAACCATCCATCCATCCAACCATCCATCCCCTCCCTCTCCCTGGCACAGGCAGACGGGGATGGGCCTGGGGGGCACCATGGCCCGTGTGGGCAGCATGGTGGCCCCGCTGGTGCGCATGGCAGCTGACGTGACCCCGGTGCTGCCCCTCATCATCTATGGGGCTGCCCCCATCATCTCAGCCATCGCCACTTGCTTTCTGCCCGAGACCCGCAACATGCCCCTGCCAGAGACCGTCAAGGACGTCGAGAGACGGTGAGGAGCTCCCCAGAGAAGTGGCTTTGGCCACCACGAGGGACCCCGTGTCCCCACCAGATCCCCTTTTCCTCCCCGACCCTTTTGTGGTTGACACGAGGGGGAAAATGGCCATTTTAGGGCAAGATTTCTTGGAGGAGGCCCAAAGGGTTTGGGGTGAGAAGGGACAAAGGTTTTGGGGTTGGGATGAAGGTCTTGGGGGAAGAGAAGGGTTGAAGGTTATGGGGTTGGGGAAGGATGAAGGTTTTGGGGTTGGGATGAAGGTCTTGGGGGAAGAGAAGGGTTGAAGGTTTTGGGGTTGGGATGAAGGTCTTGGGGGAAGAGAAGGGTTGAAGGTTTTGGGGTTGGGATGAAGGTCTTGGGGGGAGAGAAGGGTTGAAGGTCATGGGGTTGGGAAAGGATGAAGGTTTCGGGGTTGGGATGAAGGTCTTGGGGGAAGAGAAGGGTTGAAGGTTTTGGGGTTGGGGAAGGATGAAGGTTTTGGGGTTGGGATGAAGGTCTTGGCGGGAGAGAAGGGTTGAAGGTTTTGGGGTTGGGATGAAGGTCTTGGGGGGAGAGAAGGGTTGAAGGTTTTGGGGTTGGGATGAAGGTCTTGGGGGGAGAGAAGGGTTGAAGGTCATGGGGTTGGGAAAGGATGAAGGTTTCGGGGTTGGGATGAAGGTCTTGGGGGAAGAGAAGGGTTGAAGGTTTTGGGGTTGGGGAAGGATGAAGGTTTCGGGGTTGGGATGAAGGTCCTGGGGGGAGAGAAGGGTTGAAGGTTATGGGGTTGGGGAAGGATGAAGGTTTTGGGGTTGGGATGAAGGTTTGGGGGTGAGAAGGACCAAGGGGTTTGGGTTGAGAAGGGACAAAGATTTTGGGGGAGAAGGGTTGAAGGTTTGGGGTTGAGAAGGACCAAGGGGTTTGGGTTGAGAAGGGATGAAGGTTTTGGGGTAAGAAGGGACAAAGGTTTTTGGGGAGAAGGGTTGAAGGTTTGGGGTTGAGAAGGACCAAGGGGTTTGGGTTGAGAAGGGACAAAGGTTTTTTGGGGGGAAAGGTTGAAGGTTTTGGGGTTTCTCTTCCCCTGGGGGGCGCGACAGAGCGGGTCACCTCAAGGACGAGGAGGTGACCGTCCCCTTGAGCACCACCAAGACCAAGGAGGGCGCCTGAGGGGGAAGAGGACGGGCATCGGGGACACCTGGATCCCGCTGGGCTGGTGGGGTTGGGGGACAGGACCCCCCAAGGAGGGGACATGTCCCCCCCCCCAACTCCACGGCCGACCCCCCCCCACCCACAGGATATTTATTTAATCCCAATAAAACCTCATCGCAACCTTGGGCTTCTACATCAACTGCTGCCCCCCTCCCCCCAGAGGACCCAGGTGTTTGGGGGGGTCCCCACA